ATATGTAATTTGTAATGTAATATGTACTGTGTAAACACTAAAAATATATATGTAATTTGATTGTAATTGTATTGTAATTAAGAGCCTATGTAAAGAACATCACCGCTAATGGTGAATACTTGACTCTCTAAATAAAATATGATTTGATTTGATTTGATTTGATTTGATTGATTACCACATAATTCGTTGCAATTCGTTATTTTGAGGCCATTTGAATGTCTTGAATACAAACATATAGATTGTAAACGTATTGACGATCGTATATAAGGCGAGTTCCAGTGAGAGGACAGTCGTGTTTGTGGGCACGATATTCATACGCCAAATGACAAACGGCACCAAAAAGTATCTCAATTCTAACAACTTCTGGGGCACTACTGACACGAATGTGCATAAAATCAATAGTGTCTTGAAGTTTGAGTCTTTGCGTTGCAGTAATTGATACATCGTTACGGCGGTGAACACGTAGACGGGGGTCACCGCGTAGGTCAGCGCCGAACCCTCGCGACCGAGTATACGCTTCCAGATGTAGAAAGTGTAGTGACGGTTGTCGGCCAACAGATACGGGTGAGTGTAGGCGAACCGATACAACACCACTACCATCACAGCCACACCGCTCAGCACTCGCAGCGGATATCTCACAGATATTGACATAAATTTTTTTATATTATTTGCGGTGAAAATCCAGGGAAACGCGAAAAACGACACGAAACCCAAATAATAGGGTATTTGCGCTAAATGTAGGACCGCTTCGTGCGCTAATCGATCCCCTAAGACAATACCTTCAAGACAATGATATTCACATTAAGACAATTGTATTGTTTCATTAACTCTATTATAAATACCATTATTATAGACGAGAAATGCGATAAATATGATGCCAACCAATGCATATCCGCCGCAAACAATGATAATCTGCGGCAACGCTTGTATTAATGATTTCATTAATACCCTTCTCTTCTGTCTCTCGGGATTTTTGTTCAATATCTTAATCAATAAGTAAAACAAATATTAAATTACTTTTCCCGACAATCAATCAATTATATGAGCGCTTAAAGAATGCAATAATCAAGTGATAGATTGAGTGGAAATACCTGTTCACTAAACGCATCAATTGTTAGCTATTTATTAGGATTTGTTAGAAATAGAGTTAAAGTTTGTTATTATAAAGAAAGAAAGTTTAGTCGTCTTAAAAGCGTTGATTTGTTTAATTGTCTTAAACGCGTGGATCTGCTATGAATGACATTTAAATACCTTAAGGCTTGTGTGCGCCGCTAAGAAGAAGACCCAAACAATGTTTGTCTGTCTGTAGAGCAAAGATATGGCACCGAAGATAGCGGCCAGAGGTTGGAGTTCATTCACGTCAAACATATACATGAGTAATACGAAGAACAGAGATCCGGGATCTGTATAGTAGAGGAATGAAAAGAAAAACAGTGGCGGAAGTGTTGCCAAAGAAACTGACGAAAACAATAACATAAGTTTGGAGGTTCTCTAAGACATCGACAAAGAAAGAGAGAAAAAAACAATACAATTATTAATATCTACTCTAAGTTATCGGCCGATTAATCGACGAGACGAGTGGACACAAGTATTAAGTGGTTAATAGGATGAGGGGTGGGATGTGTGGACACAACTTACGGGTATTTGATGTATTTGAACGGATATTAAATATATTAGATAACTATTAGCACACGTGAAGATCACATTCATTAGGCGGAGGATAAAAAGCGGACAAATCTTCTTCTCGTCGTCTTCGCCGAAGGCATACAACTCGGAGAAGGGTTTGAGAAAACCAAGAGTTGTGAGGTATAGACCCGGAGGTGTCGTTATCTTCGGATTCCACTGCAAATCATACAAATAGATAATAATTACAAGTTTGTCATCAATTGGTGGTGAAAGACAGCTCATCATTGCGTTGGGATGCGATGACAACAGCTGTGACAATACATACATATGTGAAGTTGCCTTTGCAATAGGTCTGTGTCTGTTGGACGTGAAATATCTCGTCCATATAGGGCTCCGGGAGGTGATCGTTGACGAGTATCATCACCGCCAATATGGCGAACCCGAACGCCGTCCCAATCAGTATCACTATCTTATTGAACATCACTTCGGCGGATGTCTTACCGCCGATGAAGCCGTTCTGTCTCTCAACAAACGTTTGGGCCATCGGTTGAGTTGTCACAAGAAAGTCCACAAATCAATTAAACGATTGCATTGTGTTTACGGATAATATCGACACTTAAAAATAGGCAACACTTTTGTGTATATCATATGTTAATTGTGTTGTATTTTCGCATATGATTTGCAATACTCTGATCGCAATCAATGTGTGATTAGTTTTGCTATAATTTGTTTGAAATGTTTTAGCGTTATGTAAGAGTTGTCACTAAAAGCACAGACAGTGTTACGAAACTGTCACTTCACTCAATACAGCACAACACACAGTATATCCACGTGTAATGATTTACCAGTGGTTGGACACGCCTTTACCCACTCCTATATACCCTCCCATTCTCACAGCTATAGTGATATAGCCCTCTGTTTTACCCCCCGTTTTCGACAAACAGTTCAAAACTTTTAATTATAGTTAATAATTATGTGATTTAATTACAATTTTTATTAATCATATGGTATTTCAAGTGGTTATGAATTATTCATGTGTTTTTTGCACTTATATTTTGTGATTTTTATAAATGTTACATATTTTTCGTATTCATTACTTTGATTACAATTAGTTATATTAGGATTACATTGAATTAATATAATTACATAAAAAACACAAAATATTTTAATTGAGATCATAATATATTTATATAATTATTACAAATGCATTTGCAGTACAATTAAGTATTCAATTGAGTGAAAAAATAAGTCATTTCATAAGAATTTTATTTTAAAAATCTTAAATTCTTAAGAAATTCTCTAAAAATCAATAAAAAAAAAGTGAACGAAAAGTAAGAAAAAGCAGTAAAAATGTATGAAAAAGTGAATGAAAAGTGAATTATAAACAATATAATTGATTATGAGATTCATTGATATAAAATTATGAATTATTTGTATTCTCTGTCCAACACTTCGAGCATAGAATCGGTGAAAGAGAAGCCATCGTTCTCTTTATCACAAATATCTTGAATCTCGCGATAGTCGGCGTCCAACACGTCGGTCAGGACAGCCCCGTTGTCGGGCTCGTTGTTGTCGGTTGTCCCGGAAGAGTCTGAATTGTCGTCGTACTTAACAAAGGTCTCTTCGGGGGCCGACGGTTCCAGCGGTTCCACGTTTATCACATCATCGATACGTTGTGTTTGGTAATAGGCGTCCGCCAACTGATTCTCGTTTACATCGTAACTGCTGTGGAACAGCTGTTGCATCATTTGCACCGGTAGTCCGCAATTGTTTGGCAACTTTAGTGAGCACTTGGCGTGAGTGGTTGCCCCGCATTCACTGCATTTGACGGCTTTGCGACCGAAGTGTATGGTCTCCGCACAAGAAACACACTTATTGTTTGGCAATTTATTGGTCGTCTCGACAAAGCGGTGCGGAATGTTGTGATGCATTCGCTGTGAGCCGAGTGACCAGTTGTCGGGCGGAGGGGCGGCCGTCGCCGGAGTGCTGTGAAGTCGATTTTCCACTCTTTGGTTGACGTGTTTCTTGTTTTCGGCACAGAATAATGGCTTTCGAAACACATGTTCGTTGGAATCATTGGACTTAACACTCAAATCATCGAATTTTATAGAATTCTTTAATTGAAACACTGATAAAGGAATGGGAGGAATGGCAGAGAAGATACTTTATTTTCATAATTCATATATAAATATGTTTATAAACTTTGAAATCAATAATAACTGTTATAAATATAGACAAATAAATGTATAATCAAATGAGAGTACAAACAGACCTTCATTTTTAAAATAGTTTGCGTCGCCTTTCAGTCTCTGTATCTCATCGACAAGTCTTCTGTTATTAGACTTCTCTTCGGCTAACGATTTGTATAAATCATTCATTTCGAGCGGACAGTTAGGCTGACGCGGACTATTCGGTACAAACTTTTTGGTTGGGGTTATACTAAACAATGGCTTCACAAATGATTGCAATGAAAAAAAAAATTACATAAATTTAAAGCGTTTTATAAGCAAATAATGACAATTAAAATATTAGTAAATCTATGGATTAGAAACAGAGATAATGTGTGCTTTGGTCGTCCCATTCAATTCGTGCAATCATTCACTTCTTTACCTTCTTTTGCTTCATGAGCGAGTCGTTGGTGTCCTGGAGGTGATCGATGGCCTTCTTCTGCTGCGCCAACTGTTGAATATACGCTCCCTTTTCGCGGTTAATCTCATCCTCTCTTACATCCAACTGAGTGTGTAATGACTCGATTCGTTCCTCCAATTCGTCCACCTTTTCGACCGATTGCTGGAAACCGTGCGTCAGTTTCGAGTTCTGGTCCTTTAGATTACCGATTGTTGTGATATGTTTGGCCGCTTCCTCTTTGATCGCTATTAGCTGTTCCTCCAAATGACTAATCTTCGAGTCCAGAGCGACAATCACCTCATCGTTAGAGTAGAGGCTCTGTTCCTGAGTGGAGATCTTGTCCTCCAATTCGCGATACATTTTGCGATCGTTTGCCAGTTGTGTCTCAGCGGCGGTCAATTTCTTGCGCTCGTTGTCCAGAATCTCTTCGTATTCTTCGCGCTGCGAATCAATCTCCAGTTTGAAAGCATCCCTTTCGCGCAAAACTAAATCCAAGT